AGATTTTTCGCAAGCCAGTGACTGAATCATAGAGATAGGAAACCTTTTTTTTGTACACTTGTGGTCCAACAGCTATTTAAGATTTACTCTAAATAATGAAGATGGGTGTTATCATAAAATGGAATTACCGTAATATTATTGGAATCACAAAACCTATAAACGTTGTGATGTGTCTATGTGAAGTGAAATGCGCCAGACTTTAGGCCCGTGTCTGCGTTATTTGCAACAGAGGGTATGGGTGTACTAGCTTCCAAGCCAGATTTACGTCTTTTCTCAAAAAAACAAAACATCAATATGACAAAAAAGAATGTATCTTTGGAAATAAGCGCATAGAATAATGCTCACTTCTCATCGATTTCCTCCCACTATCCTTGATTGACTTCTCCAACCCATTTATTCTATCATTTTTTGCTGGATCTTTTTTGTAATTGTTCTTTATCTCCATTCTTTGTCTCAAAATTAGTCTCTCCTCACAAAGTTACATTTTCCAAATGTACCTGAAGTAAAACGCAATAAATCTGGATGATCTGAGCATACGCGTTCGCTGTATATTCCCAGCGATTGCAAACTTGCTACATCGCAGGAGGCCTTGGTGATTGGAACTCTGATTGTAATTGCCCTTTGAATATTTTGCTAGATTTCATAAGAAACATTTCTTTCCCATTTTTTTTTACTGAAATTCTCCCTCTACATGTAGAAGCCTGAATTTTTTCAGGCTGCCCAGAACCTTTAAGATTGAATTATACTACGTTGAGCGCTTTTTAATATTCTGTTAATGTAATTATAAATCATTTATAAATCTGTCATTATTTTAGGAATTGAATCAAAATGCTTAGTGAACGGAGGAAACTTAATGACTAACTAGCACTTAACTCTAAATGGATAGTCTCTAAGCATATAAATCGCTATTGATAAACAAGGTCGCTTAGATTATTGTAATCCGGACTACATCTCTCAGTACCATAGGATAATTATTATTTAGAAAACATCATTTAAAAAGAGAAAAATCTTGCAGGCATTCTAACATTCCGGGTGTATCGAATCCAGTAATTTCTGAAATTCTCCTCCTTCGCATTTGTCACAGACTGACAGATCCACGCACACACAATATATACTTGCACATACATACCACACACATATAAATACATATACATAACACATACAGGTACACCAACTGCGTTATTGAAAGTAATGTTGCTTAAGAACCTTTTATGAAGGAGTAGACTTGTTCTTCATTTGATCTTTGCTTCAGCTCACAATTACGACATCAGGCCGGCTACACTCTATCGGTTGCGAGCCACAGTCCTTATTAACCAGGCTGAGAGCTCTCCTTCGAAGCTTGTCCTCGTGAATACAAGAGAAGCTGGTAGGTGCTGCTGAAATCTTTTCATTTGTAAAGAAATAAGAGCTAGGATATTGTAGCGGCGAAGTCGCCTGTGATTCAGTCAGTCAAGGTATTGGCCAACGGAAGCGCTATAGTTCAATTCATCCCGGCAGATGATGTCGATGTCAAAACTGTAACGTTTCTTTTCCGAGTCTCTTTGAAAGTGCTGTAGAATGTGCTCAATTTTTTAGAATTATACTGTGGAGTATCGTGATGTCTCCAGTTTTGATCCCTCATGGACGAGTCTCGAGTTCGAATCGGACTCCTCTAGTGAAGTCCTTCTGTCGGGCCTTTTGCCCAACAGGACGTATGAAACTCGCCTGTTTGTAAACGGCAACATCGTTCATGGCATTTGTTCAAGAACTGTGCTTTTTTCAACGAATCAAACTGGTAATGCCTTAGATACCTCTTTTCATGTAATGCTAGATTTAAATTTTGGAAAGTGTGTGTGCATACGTTTTTTAGCTCAGTTGCCCGAAGTTTCTTTGATTCCACAAGAAGAGATCGTGCTGGATCCAGACGTGTCGCAGCCGCTAGAAGTAAAATGCAGTGTGATATCGTCTCCTCCCTCCAATATTCGATGGTTGGTCGATGGTAAGTTTCAGAAAGATAAAACCTGTATCAATATACAACGACTAATAGTAAAAGTGTTCATTCCCTTCCCTGTAAAACCAGACTTTGTAATTTTGTGGGGTTTTATCGCTATCATCTACCTTACGTTAATTTTTGCTTATTGTATCCTGTCCACCTCTTAGATCGCGTGGACACATGAAGCTGAGATTATAGCAACATTTAGAAGTAAATCCTACACAATCAAAAAGGAATTGAAAGTGCTAGAAATTGCAAATGTATTTCAAAGCCTAAGTCTTCTCGTTTCCGCTGGCGTCAAGTAAGTGAGCCTGAAAAAATTTCCTCTTCTGCTCTCCTTTGTTATGGTCAGATCTTATATCTTTATGCTTAAGGTTTTGTGATTACCAATTGAAGCTAAGTACTCGGATGCCTGTCAATAAAAGCTGTGGCTCAAGAGCTTTTTGGCTTGTCTTTTTATTTGTGAGCGGAAACCTTAATGTACA